AATGTTAAAAAATTTAACTCTGTGCCTATATTAACTATATATAAAGTAATTCTCTTGAATAGGAATCAAATAAACACAAAGAAAGTATTTTATAATTACTTTATTATGAAATATTAAGTAAACAAAATAGTGAAAAATTATAAAATTCTTGTCTTGTCTGTACCTACGGCACACCAGGCAACATCTTGCGGCACACTAGTGTGCCGCGGAACAGCAGTTGAAAAACGCTGGGTTAGAGCATTGTCCAGATACACCAAGGCTGTGGGTTCGATCCCTAGTCAGAGCACATACAAGAATCAACTAATGAATGCATAAATAAGTGGAACAACAAATCGATATTTCTCTCTCTCTTTCTCCTTCCTTCCCTCTGTTCCTCACTCTCTATAAAATCAATAAATAACAAAATTTAGGGAAAGCAGACTTTTATAGTTCGCTAAAGAATGTGGGCCTCACTTCAGTGCCTAACAAAGTCTTTATGACCAATGACTATCTCACTAGCAAACTATGTTATCTGATCATAGAAACATGACTTCAACACGTCCGCATGTGAGCTTTTCTTTATGATTCCTGGAGGCAGACAAACCTGGGATCAAACTCCAGCCCCAACACTTGTAGCTCCCTGTCATCCTGGTTTCCTCATCCGTAGCATGGGGCTGAGAACAGTGCCGCCTCTCAGTGTTGCTGTGAGAGTGACATGATGTATGTAGTCAGCACAGTGCCTGGCCCTACAGTGGTCATGTAACTCACAGCAGATACCAGCTATTTATTACCTTCGAGTGACACCACTGGTGTATGACACGAAAGGAGATAGAGGCTAAGAAACTAAAAGCTACCACCATGCTGATGTGAAACATCTCAAAAATGAGCCTCTGGAAACATACATGGCGTCATAGGCCAGACCACCTGGCACAGTTACTGGAATCCAAAGAAGATAATGCATGCGCTGTGGAAAGGAGTGCCCTCCCAGGGACCTGCAGGTCCTAGGCAAGGGGATGCTGCCATCTTGTGGTGGGAGAGGCCCGGTGCTCCTCTCCAGTTGCTGTCCCTGCCCGGGGCCACGCTGACCTTCGCCTCTGATTAGATGAGAGCCCTGGGTCATTGATTTCATTAGTGCCCATTCTCCAAAATCTGAATCATCTGACCTTTTGGTTTGCCGAGAACTGAGTTAAGGTGGCAGGCAGTGTTCTGTAGGGCAGTGGAGAACGAATCAGGGTCTTAGTGGGTTTTACATATGAAAAATCCTCAAGTGGTTCATAAAACGTGGTCTCATATTTCTGTGGAACACACTGTTCCCCACACAGGGCCTCTGGATCCGCTCTGTGCCGCCTGAGCTCTGCCCGGGAGGTGACTGAGGAACACTTAATGGAAACCGCATTTCTGGACCAGATTGCCTCAGCTCCATCCAGCCCTCTGTGTCAGAAGCCCATAGCCTGGGAATCCTTCTGGCTGGAGACGGGGAGGGCGGGTCCTCTTTCCAGCTCCTAGAAGGCCCCTGGGCTGTGAATCTCTGTGCTCGGGGGAAGAAACCACCTGAAAACCAGGAACTGCCTAACAGGCCCCAGATTCAATGTTTGTTTGCAGCTGTGATTCAAAGTACTCTGGGCAGCTCAGATACCCTGGGCTCGCTATCAAATCAAGGAGAGAGCTCCCTGCTCTTCAGGGAGAAAACTAGAGACGCTGGTGCCATTGCAGAAGGCCTCTGAGAAGAGCTGGTCTTAGAGGTGTGGTCTCAGGGTGAAAGCCACCTCAGACTGAACTTGGGGCGGAGGACAGAGCATGGAAGGGGCTGCGAGGCAGCGGTGTGGTGCTGGGAGGAGGAGGAGGCCAGGGCCAAACAGAGTGCACTGACGTCGGCTCTCCTCCAGGCCTTCTCCCGCAGCGAGGAGGAACGTTGGTCCCAGGCAGCCACCAGGAAAGCCAGCCTGGCCGGTAACGGGAATTCTGGGCCACAATGTGCATTTGTCAATGCTGAGAGCAGCGGCCGGTCCAAAGCAGAGCTAAGGAAAAGGAGGGCTACAGATAACATAACCAAGAGCTGTTGGAAACCAGGAACCGGGCCTGTGATTTGAGGGAAAGCCATCTTTTCTTAGCCACACGCTGTCTTCGGGTTGGTTTCTTTTCGCTGGGACTCCATTTCCCTTTTTCTAACTCTAATTCCATTCCTTTCGGTTCTCTCTCTCTTAGACATTCTGCAATAACTAAGTAGTTCTTTGGTGACTATGTGAATGCACTATTTGGGAAGTATTTTTAGTCAAAACCTGTTGAGGTTAGCACCACAGCTTTGTTTAATCTTAGACACCTGCCCTGATCTGATTTACTAAAGCCATCGATGTTAGTCATCCGGGGCTTTCGGAGTCTTAGACGTGAAGAAGCGAGGGAGGGAGGGATTGGCTTGTGCAGCGTCAGCCTGGTGATTACAAAGCGACTTCCTGGACCGCACAGATGATTCCTCTTCCCATCCCTCTGCCCCGAGCCCACAAAACTGGGTTACATGGGCTGTTTGAGGGAAGAAATGCTGGTGGAGATTGTTTAAACACACACACTCTTAGCCCCTTAACAAGTATGTGTACATCTAGAAGAAGAAAAAAATGGCAATCTCGAATCGTGGCCTTTACATTTTTTGTGTGTGTTCAGGGACAAAGGAGACATCAGATTCCTTTGAGGTGGCACTAGAAAAACTTTTATATTTCCCGTTCCAGCCTTTCTCTGGGCCACCTGAGCTGAGCTTGGCGTCCGTGTCTTTGGGGATCCAAGTGTCAATTTCTTTCACTCAGCGTTCATCCAACCACATTTGGTACTTGATTTAAGAAATTCATTCTAGACGTTTATTCAGCCTGTAAAGCCTAATAGGCAGCACCCAAGGCACAGCACTGAGAGGTGTTCTGCTGTGGCAGAAGCACAATGTGCTAATTAACGAAATGTTCCGCCCCTATCTACTTCTCAGAATGCTCTAGGCCTGGCACCGGGGACCAAGGTGTGGGCTGCAGCCTGGCTGAAGGGCACTTTTCCAGTGGCCTTCCGGCAGAGCCCAGTACGCCGTGCCAGTTTTAGTCCTGCCTGGAGATGGGGCGGCTCTTCTTAAGCAGGACAGTCTGAGTGGTTTCCGTTTTCACAGACCCAGCTGAAAATGAAGTTTCAACAATAACTTGATTAAACCCCTAACTGATTTGGCTCAGTGGATAGAGCACTGGCCTGCAGACTGAAAGGTCCCAGGTTCTATTCCGATCAAGGGCATGTACCTTGGTTGTGGGCACATTCCCAGTAGGAGGTGTACAGGAGGCAGCTGACTGATGTTTCTCTCATCGATGTTTCTAACTCTCTCTCTCTCCCTTCCTATCTGTAAAAAATAAATAAAATATATTTTTTAAAATAACTGTGATTAAAAACAAAGAACCAGAGAAAGTGGCTATTCAGATTCCATTTTGGGTGACACTAAAAATTTTATTATTTGTCAGATCCCAGAGTCTTAAGATCTCCAAACTGAGAAGCCTATATCAATAAAATAGCATAAAATATAACATTTAAAATGCGATTTTATGGTATAACCATGTTGATGCATTTGAACTTTGGTTTTACTTTGTTTTTCTTTACTGTCTGCTAGTTGCCAACTCTTCATTTTCTGAGATTTTGATGTTAAAATGCTTTGTGAAATGGTGGTGATAATGTATTCAGTTTTAATGTCCTCAGATCTTGACAAGGTGGCACCTATGTAGGTCCCAAAAGTTTTAAAATTCACTATTTTGCAAAGTCTCTCACTTTTTTAAAAAAAAATATATTTTTTTATTGACTTCAGAGAGGAAGAGAGAGATAGAAACATCAATGATGAGAGGGAATCATTGATTGGCTGCCTCCTGCATGCACCCTTCTGGGGACTGAGCAGGCAACCAGGAATGTGCCCTTGACCGGAATTGAACCTGGAACCCTTCAGTCCGCAGGCCAATGCTCTATCCACTGAGCCAAACTGGCTAAGGCATAAAGTCCCCCACTTTTAAGAAACCGCATCAGAACGCTCAGTATAATACAGCCTGATTATCTCTAACTGCCCTCCCCTGCAGGGCTGGTCCCACCCCCCCTCCCAACTGTCCTCCCCTGCAGACCATCTTATGTCCACATGGGGCAGCCATCTTGTGTGTTGGAGTGATGGTGAATTTGTATATTACCTCTTTATTATATAGGATTCTTCATAGGTTCAACTTTAAAAAAACATTAAAATAAAAAACAACTGTGGTTTTCAATGTTAAGGGAAGCTGTAGTCCTTGACATGTTGACTGATGAAATAGTTTCATGATTATATTTATTTATTGATTGATTTCAGAGAGGAAGGGAGGGAGAGATAGAAACACCAAGGAGGACTGTCATTGATTAGCTGCCTCCTGCACACCCGCAACCCAGGCACGTGAATTATGTTTTAATTTGTTCTGCTCTTGGTGTTGATCTAAACAAAAAATATTTGGACGGTTAGATGTATTCACTTCCTTCTTGAACACATTCTATACTTTACAGAACTCCCAACTTCTTTTGTGCCTACCAGCCAGGCATCCTGAGGTTGCCTGGGAGACATGTTAACTGGCAGGTACTCACCTGGGAGATGTGCTAGCTCGACACACAGGCTGGGACTGTGTCTGGGAACAATGCTTACAGCTGTCCAGGGGGGGCCTTTCTCTGAAGGGCTTGGCTCCAATTCTCTCCAAACCAATCTCCTGGATGCTGTGTGGCCCATTTTACAGGACAGCATACCAAATACACCCTCCAGTTGTGGGGAATATTTAACGGTTCTCAGCCATCAATAGCAGGGGCCACTTTTACTGGGGGGAGGGTGGTCACAATGGCAGCCTCAGTAGGTCTGGACCAGGGAGGCTCATGAATCCTGCAATGGGGTGAGTTTTCCCCCATGAAGGACCATCCCACCCAAAAGGCCAATCAGTGGTGCTGTTGTCGCCCGATACAGAAACTTCATTTTAGATATGTGTTTTTTTCCTACTAGAAAACAGGTCAGATAATTTTAGTATGCTACTTTATTAAATATCTACATTCACAAATTATTTCATTGTGAATTACCCAAGAAATACAAAATCTCTCAATGGCTTTCTCCACCTTGGTTTAGTTAAGAAACTCTTATAGGGAAACAGAAGGAATTAATAAGTACTTACTGCAGGACTCACTACAGTGGACAGTTTGGAGAACAAGAAAATCTATAACTCTGAAGCCATATCTTTTTCATTTCTTCAAAATGAATACTTTAAAAATAAATCATATATTCAGACTTGTTTAGTGATGCCTAAGTTTCAGAAAGTTTGTGAAGAAATCACATAGAAAAACAGACACTTGGATGCAATCAAATGCCTTTTTTTTTTTTTTTTAAAGTATCCTTTCACACAGTGGCTCTCAAACTCGGCATACATCAGAATTCCGGAGTCAGGGGGCTGCTTTGCTGGCCCACGCAGAGTTTCTGAGCTTTGCTGGCCCACGCAGAGTTTCTGACAAGTTTCCAGGTGATGCTGATGGTGCTGGTCTGGGCACAGCCCTTTAAGAACTGCTGCTTTAAGATATTTTCTCCAGAACTCCAACTAACAAGCAATACCCATATGCCTTTACTTTTCTAATAGTAAAAAAAGATTTCTAATAAATAAAAGAACATTTCACATATGGCTCCATCAAACCTTAAATTTTCAGCCTTTTGAAATGTCCTACTTAAATAGAATATATAATTTATTCATCTTGGCTCATAATAATTCCTGAGTTCAAAAAAAGCAGGACCGCAGTACTGGGTTATCTGGGACTACATGAAAACATCCACTTACACAGGGAGCTTGCTCCGGTCTCCTCCGTGCCTCTTCCATTGGGAAATCCAGCACGAAATCATTAAGAATGAGAACGAGACCTATCATGAATGCAGACATAAAATGTCAGTGCATTGTCATACTTAAGCTTCTGAATCAGGAACTTCTTCATCAGGGCAGCAGTAATACTCCACAAAACATATCTGTCCATCTTCATTCCGAATCATATACTGTAAGGAGAGGAATCCTCGGTTATCTGTCCGAATAGACACCTTGCACGACAGGACCAATGCCTTTGTAGACGGCTTCAGTAAAGAAATCTTGTATCTGCAGAAGAGGAAATAAATAGCTGTGATTTGGATACATGTCCAGCAGTGCTCAGAACTCAGAACAAAAGTTAGCCAGCAATACCATGTAGCAAATACAATGAAATCCAATACTTAGTCAATTTGCTAATATTTTCTCTTCATTAAAAAGAATTTCATCCACTATAACCCCAAATCCCCAAGTAAATCCAGAACCTAATGTTCATTTTTAAAAAATACTACTTTTTCCAACAGATTGAAAGTTTTAAAATCTTAAAAAATTTATTTAATAGAAATTTGGTATTTAACTGCATCTACATCACCATAACTGACCTGTTAACTTGGGTTTCGTTACAATTAAAGGACTCCATCAGATCAGAATCTTTGGGATAATCGAGGTGGGAGCTTCCTGCATTCCCAAAAGTAGACAACCTAGAGCAGAAAACGAGAAAGCCGTGGATTCATTGGTCCAGCAGTAAGCCGCATCAGGTCCGAACAAAGACGACATTTAAGGAGCCATTCCGCTCCCCACCACGGAACCACCTCCCACAGGGAGACGGGAGACAGCCAGGAGCCTTCCCACTACCCATGCCGAGAGAGGTCACACGGGTGGGGACCCTCTCACAGGCTCTGCTTACGTGCCTGGGATTTTAATTCATATCACTGTTCCAGTAGGGTTCCACTGATTTCCCTTTTGGTTAATATTTTAACAGATTTTGAGCCAAATATTTGACTGTCTAATGCATGAGAGGGGCCTTTAGTTCTTCTAAAGTAGATATTTAAAACCCTTTACTCGTTAATATTCTGACATTATTTCTACAACAGTTTAAGTAGTACAAAGTACAACAATGAAAAGACCACTAGTTTCTGAATTAGGAGACTGAGCTACTCGTTTTGAAACCAGCATTGCCTAACTATGCAGCTATGAAGATGAACTAGTGAATTGATTTTCCTGGTCTTAAGTGTTCTGATCAATGAAAGTGTGAGAGTAAAAGCTTGCTAGAGTTCTGAAAATTCTAGAACCCTGGATAACACTCTGTAAGTCCTGCATCCTCAGCGAATGTGTCAACAGGAAATGGAGTAAAGGACATTAGTTGTAAGCGCACTGCCCTTTAGTACCTGAAGTAAGGCTTGTCAGGAGACATGGTGATCTGTAGGACCTCACTCGTCATATCCAATTCGGAAAATGCTTCACGGAGCCCCTCTGACTGCAGAATAATCTTATTAATCACATTGGTGCTGCAGAAATCAAAATCCAGCGTTTCCTCAGGCTCCTGGGTATTGATTTTACAGACTGTCACCACACCTCCTTCTTCCAGAAACAGCATCAAGGGGCAACCATAACCTTGGTAACACATCCGAAGTGCAGTTAAGTTCCCTGCAATGGAAATGCATCACATTTTGGATTTAGCTGTATACCTCTGGGTTCAGATTTTCGTCAAATGTCACATAAAGCTTCTCAAGAACACATTAGCCTGCCCAATTTCTAGCAGAAATGTATGTCTCTCTATAAGAAAGCATCACATCTGCCCTGATGTACATACTGTCATCAGGGAATTCCAAATCTAACTGCGAGAAAACTGGGAACAAAATGTACTGTAACTCTGAAATCCTTTCCAGCTGGGCAAAACACCTCCAAAATGCCTTACTGATCACATGTACCCACAATTTCAGGAGGGAGAGTACACGGTCTGATACAGCAGAATAGAGAGAGCATGCTGCTTCTTGAAGGTGCAATTTGTACAACAGTGGATTGCTGTGATATGATATCTGTACTATGCTGCCAGTGTATTCACTATAAGCAAGCATGTCAAACTCTCAGCTTGCGGGCCACAAGTTTGACATGCTTGGCTTTAAGGATCCTTCCAATCTTTTCTTTTGGGAGACATTCTTTACATTTTCCCCAATGTTAAGATCAAATTGGGAGGAAAAGAGAGGGTGGTTAGTGGTGGTTAGGGTTTTAACTCTGAAAACCATTAGACAGGAAGAGGAGTATGACAGGACATTCTAGCTCCTCTCCCTTCCTGAAGATGGAGGGCCACAGTGAGGAGGGGGTGGGGGGAGGCAGATGCTTTTAGGAAAAACCAGCTGCATTAAAAAATGTAATTAATGCCCTAGCCAGTCTGGGCCTCGGCCTGCAGATGAAAGGGTCCTGGGTTCAATTCCGGTCAAAGGCACATTCCTAGGCTGTAGGCTCCTCTGTTGTCCTGGCCCTGGTCAGGCTCGTGGAGGGGGCAACCAATCGATGTGTTTCTCTCACATCGATATTTCTCTCTGTCTCTCCCTCTCTCTTCCGCTCTCTCTAAAAATCAATGGAAAAACATCCTTGGGTGAGGATTAAAAAAAAGATAAGAAAATGTATAACTAATAATGAAAGTACAGTATAAAATTAAAGTATATTTTCTAGAGAATAATAAGTACTTATATTCTAATAACGTTTTCTGTCTTTTTCTGGCCATTCTATGTCCAGAAAAATAGTTATTTATTATAATAATAATTAAATGGTTCACCTGGCATAGGACTTGATCCAAAAATAGATAAGCAGTCTAAAAGGACAGTTAAATTAATTCGGAAAGTAACAGGCTCTTCCTGAACTTTAAACTCTTGAAATATTCCAGCCTATGAAAAAAAGTAAACATGAAAAAAATAAGTGTACTTAAGAATGAGACCTCACACATAAGGTTCTAGATTTCACTTTTATGTTTTTTTAAAAAACCAATATTATGCTAATCCCATGAAAATAATTTCTGATTATCAATCAACACATCTTAAGCTTTTTAAACTATCATCCATTAGAATAACACTAGTCAAGTCCTAGCTGATTTGGCTCAGTGGATAGAGCATGGGCCTATAGACTGAAGGGTCCCAGTTCGGTCCAGTCAAGGGCATATATCTGGGTTTTGGGCTGAATCCCCAGCAGGGGGCGTGCAGGAGGCAGCTGATCAATAATTCTCATCATTGATGTTTCTATCTCTCCCTTTTTCTCTGAAATCAATAAAATATATATTTTTTAAAAAGAATAACACTAGTCAATAGCTAACGGTATAATGGGGATTTGGGTTCATGCACAACTTTATGTAGGGCTTTTCATCTAGTTTCTTGGATCTAAACTATTCCCAACCCCCCCCCCCCCCCCCCCCCCCCATTCTCCAGTCTCCTGTTTGGAGCCATCAATACAGCTGAGGTCACCTGGAAAATTGCCAAACAATTTGATAATGCCTGAGTGACAGTTCTCAATTTCTTTTGAGAATAAGAACTATGTCTCATTTATCCCTGAAGTCATACTATGCACTTAGATGTTCAAAAACATGCTGAACTAAATCTGAAATTTGCACCATACAGATGTAACTTTGTAAGAACAAATACATCACATTATAACTAATAGAGGGGAAACTGTTTTCTAATAAAAGGTTGCAGTAAAGAGCACACACTCTGAAAACAAATGTTCTCATCCTAACTCAGCCACTTGTAAGCTATGGTGCCGCTGGCCAATCACTTAAGCTGTGCCTCAGTTTCCACATACATGAAATGGGAATAGCAGCCTATCTCATAGGACAGTGGTTCTCAACCTTTCTAATGCCGTGACCCTTCAATACGGTTCCTTATGTTGCGGTGACCCCCGACCATAAAATTATTTTCGTTGCTACTTCATAGCTGTAATTTTGCTACTGTTAATGAATCATAACGTAAATATTTGTGTTTTCTGATCGTCTTAGGTGACCCTGCTAGCCGTGTGTTGCGACCCACAGGTTGAGAACCGCTGCTGTAGAGCCTAAGACCATCGGAAAACACAGATATTTACATTACGATTCATAACAGTAGCAAAATTAGAGTTATGAAGTAGCAACAAAAATAACTTTATGGTTGGGGGTCACCACAACATGAGGAACCGTATTAAAGGGCCGCGGCGTTAGAAAGGTTGAAAACCACAGTCATAGGACTACTGTGAGGATTAGATGAGTTTAACTACATAAAACACTCACAGGAGTGCTTGGACTCTTAAGCTTTGGGACATTTTTAGTTTTAACCATGCTCTCTCTAAAACACGGGGAAAGAATTTGTTACGGAGAGGGGGGAAAAACAAAACAAAACAAAAAACGAAAAGCAAACGACCTGTCGTTCTCTAACTTACATGACGCCTACTAAAGCCTTGGATCTCATTACACTGGGTGCGGAGTGAATGTCTAACGGACCCACCTGGATAAAAGCATTCGCTTGCACACACTTGGCATTCTCCACCGTCACCTTGATCCCGTTCTTGGTGGCGAAGCAGGTGGCGTGCTCCCGGAAGTGGATGGCCTTGAGCACGGTGGACAGGTTCCGCACGTTGTCCAGGCTGGCCACCAGGCTGTAGCCGCTCTCGTCCGGGACCCGCTGGCTAACGAGGGGCATGGTCCGCGGCGGGGGGCGCGCACCCCTGGGAGACCCAGCGAGACCTGTCACCGCCGCGGGCCCCCCGCCCCGGCCTGCGGGGCTGCACCCCACCTCGGCCTCCCCACCGCCCCTGGGACTCTGGGGACACGACGGGCGGCTCCCCGGTCTCTAGGAAGAGGACGGTAATGCCTGGAAAGTGGTGCATCCTGAAACTAGGTCACCAGTAAGTAACAGTGCTGACGGCCAGCTTCGGCACGTCAAACGGGGGCCAAGGATCCTCACCGACTGGGGGGCACGGGCCGCGATTTCTCCGAAGACCCACTTCGAGTCCCAGACAACTCGATCCCCAGCCCGCAGCGCCGGGGGTCAGAGCGGGAAGCGGGGCATCTGTTTGCCGGTCCCGGGATCGCGGGCCCCAGGCGCGGAAAGCGTACCTTCGCGGCGGGGTCCGGACGCCGGGGAGCCTCCCCCAGCCAGGTCACCGGGCAGACGAGGCGCAGCTCCCGGGGAAACCGGGAGGACGCGGACCAGCTCCCGCCACGGCTTTCAGATCGCCGGGACCGCCTCGGCCACCGTCACCATAGAGCTGGGCGAAGCCTAGAGAGGCGACCGGAAGAAGGCGTCCTAGGCCGGCGGAGGACCCAGAGCGCAGCGCACGCTGGACCATAGAGACGGGAAGTGGGAGCGAGAGGCCGCGCCGGAAGGAAGAAGACCCGGCGCGCAGGCGGCTTGGCAAGATGGCGGCCACCAAGAGGAAGCGGCGTGGAGGCCTGGCGGGCCCGGCGAAGAGGCCGAGGAAGAGCGAGAAGGATGCCAGGCCTGCAGCGAAGCAGCGCGACCAGGCCGAGGAGGCGGGGGAAGAGGACAGGAACCGCATCCCAGGCCCCGTGTGCAAGGTAGAGGGCTGCTCCCGGTTCCCCGGCGGCCGGCGTCCTGCGCCCTGCGCCCTCCCCGGGGCCGCCTACCGAACCGCGGGTTCCCGAGTCGCTGTGCCCCGCTCTCTCGGCCGGCCCGGCCCCCGCGTTCACATCTCACCCCCGGGCAGGAGGCTGCCCCGGGAGGCGAGCGGCTGTGCGGCCTCCAGCGCTCTTCCCGGGCCGCGGGAAGCCGACCCCGGAGCACCCGGAGCAGTTTCTCGTCCCCGCCCCCCTTAGAGGGATTTCCAGGTGTTGGCTATGTCCCTTACCATCACCGGTCTCTCCCCAGGTTCCGCCGTAGCCAACTGCGGGGCTCCTCCAGCAAGCACCGTCCTTGGGACTGGGACTTAGGGTTTTTTGTTTGTTCGTTTGTTTGTTTGTTTTGTTTTTCCTAAATCCTCACCCAGGATGTTTCTGTTGGTCTGTAGGCGGGGAGAGAAACATCCATGTGAGGGAAACACCGTTGCCTCCCTTACGGATCTCCATCTGGAGTGGAGCCGCCACCCCGTTGGGGTCGGGATGACGCTCCATCCGCGGAGCCCCCGGCCCGCGCTGACCCGTCTGGTGTCTAACTCCGCGGGGGCAGCTAACGGGCGCGGGCGCGGGCGCGGGCGCAGGCGGTGGGTTTCACTGGCGTTCAGCAGCCACAGTGGCAGGCACTCTACGGAGTCAGGTTTTCCCCGGCCTTGGGATTGCAGAGCCAGATCGCGGCCTCCTCCTTTTTCCTGAAATGTGGGGGTTTAGAAGGAAACCCAAGGAAGAACTCATCTACGTTGGTGGTTTTTATTCAAAAGGAAGTGAACAGCTAGATCGAATACTGTGCAGACAAGAGGTGCTTTTGATTTATTAATCCCTGTGTCCCCGGCTTAGCATATGCTCTAGTACCTGTAAGTGATAAAAAATATGGCCCTGTGTGGTGTAGGGGCAAGCACTAGGAAGGGGCTTAGCTCCGAGGAATGAAAGATGAGTTTAAACTCTAGCCTTGTTATTAACAGTGAGATTATGGGCTTTTCCTCATCTGCATTTTCAGAGGAAGGAAAGGTGATCGCCTCTTTGTGAAGAATGTAGTCTATTTTCAGTCAATGTTGGTGCTCTCGTTCTTCCTTAAGGACCAAGAAAGAATATGATAGTAACAGTGATCTGATACGAAATCTGGTATCAGCAAGTCTTGATATGAAAAATGCTATTGAGGATAGCGATTAGTACTTTTCCCCGAGGATAATAGGGTAAGGGATCATAAAGGAACTATTTAGCCTCTGAGCAGGATCTCAAAGTAAGGGCAGAATTTTGATATTCAGAAATGAGAGGGAACTGTACAAGGGAGATAGAAGAAACTGACCAGAGGTGTTGAAGTATGAGAAATGCTGAGAGTGAAAGCAACTAAACCAGGTGCTCTTATTCTCAGGAGCTCACATCTCCTGAACTGTAAGGGCCCCAGGGGACTTGAACCAGGGGAGCAGTGGGCAGCAACAGCTCATCCCAGGCTAACCCCTGAACCTGTCTCAAGGCCCCCTTTTCTCGGACTTGCTGTGAGCTCACATAGCCCCACCTCGGCTCATACTTTCCCCATCATGTTTCTCCAGAGCCGAAGCGTTTCCACCTGTTCTATCTCCCATTGCTTCGTCTGTCTTAAGCCCTTCTTTTCCTCCACAGCTTTAATAAACATACTCTAAAAAAATAAAAATAAAACAAGGTAGAACCCAATTGGCTAAAGTGAAGGGTAGATTTAGGACAATAGGAGGGGAAAATATAAATGTGTTTTAGAACTCATTGGTAAAGCTACGTCATTTTTGGACTTTGTCTAGAAAAACCTAGGAGGTAGGATGTGGTTGGAACTGAGCTTGAAGGTTGAGCTGCTGCTAGTCTGTTGGAGGGGCTGGCCATTTAGGGATTGGCAGTAAGAATAGAATTATGAGGATTGAAGGAGTGCAGTGGGTGTAGGAAAGGATCGAGAGCTGTTAAAAAGGAAAGTGACAGCACTTAGCAGTGCTTGTGATGTGAAAGAATAAGGGCCAGGAAGATTCAGAGCCTGGGGGACTGAAATGGTGGTGACAGCATCAGAAAAAGAAATAACACGGGAATTGGCCAGACCTGTGATTTAGTGTTCCAGAATGGAATTTGAGATTAGTAGAACTGGACAGTTCTTTACCGTTTTGAAGAGTTGACTTTCATGCTATGGGAATGACTATGAGAACTGTCCTGGAGAGACAGAAGTAAAAGAGGCTAAGGAAGAATCTTTAGTCAGGAGGAGGGATTGGAGACACTGAAGGAAATCCACAGGGAAGGCAGCCAAGCAGGGGGTTTCTGGGTGGCAGTTAGGTCTGAATACTGCTGAGAGATTGACAAAGTTGGTCAGGATTGTTTGGCTTGCTACTTGGAAGCTGTTGTCTTTGTAAACAAACGAGGTATGTTCACTCAGATTTAAGAATCTTTTAACATTTTATTTTTCTTTAGGGCAAGTGGAAAAATAAGGAACGGATTCTCATCTTTTCTTCCAGAGGAATAAATTTCAGAACAAGACATTTAATGCAAGACTTAAGAATGCTGATGCCTCATTCTAAAGCAGGTGCCTTTGTGTCATACTTGCAATTTTATGTTTATAAACGTGCATATTAATATATTTCCAGTTCAAGTCACACATCAGTTTTTCAATCTTGTGAGATAAAGAACCAGTACTCTTGAAAAATGTATCTTTTTCAGTGCCGAGATTTTTCCAGTTAACATTTTGCCAGAAATTCTTTGCAAACTTTGTTGAACACTAAGGCCCAATGCATGAAATATGTGCAAGTTCCTTGGCTCTGGTCCCCTCCCACTATGGTTTTGTTCGGAAGGAAGGACATTTGGTCAAATTAGCATATTGCACTTTTATTATTATAGATTCTCTTCACTTTCTTAAATATCCTGATTCCTGGAACATTCTTGAAGGTCCAGAAGAAATGCCTCCATAGTAATGCTCTTAGCCATCCTAGTTTGTCATTTTAAATGACTCAGGACTGCTTTCTGCATTAAATTACAAACAACTGTCCTCATCTAAAGATGAATGGACCTGAAGCAGGATTTCAGGCATCTTTAGGTGTCACTCAACCCCCTTCTCACTGCCCAGCTAATCTTTTTAGCACTGAGGTATCTTACAGGCAGTTGAATAACAGCTAGTTTTAAGTTTGGAACTGTTGCTAGTGCCACCATTGAGCTGTTTCTGTGTCTGTGTTGATTCTAGATAATAACTTAAGTCTTTCTTTAAATCAATGTTTCTTGAACTTGAACTCGGGTCTGCTGCTACATCTTCAGATCTCTGAAACTAATAAGAGAAATTTTTAATTAGTATCAGTTTTCTTTTTTCCTGTGATAATATGAAATCATTTGTTTTATTAGTTTCCTTTAGCAACTGTGATTCGTATTTAAAAGAAATTTTCATTACTTCAAGTTTTAGTTTGAGTTTTTCATAACTGGAGTCCTAGAACATGGTGTTCAGTTGTGAGAATTTTTTTACTTTTGAAAGGGATTCATAGAATACATAAAGTCTAGGAAACTGCTTAGATCTTTGTTTATAATTCTCGAGGACTACTTTTAATTACTTTTTATTAAAGAGAGAAACATTGCTGTGAGAGGAAAACATCAGTTGTTTACCTCCTGCGTGGGCCCTGAGCCAGAGTCAAACACATTACCTGTTGGTGCACAGGATGGCATTCCAACCAGCCAGCCACCTGGCCAGGGCTCAGTGCTCATTTTCACCTTTAAAAAGAATCAAGATTTCCAAGAGGTTGTGTTTTCAGATCTAATCATTTTAAATATTGATAACATTGCATTAAAAGCATGTGTGATTTGATTGAAGGTGCTTAGGAATCTTGTATTTACTTGTTTTTTCTTTTTTTCCTTACAGATACTAAAATGGATCGCAAAGATAAGTTATTTGTGATTAATGAGGTAATTTTAGAAAGTAATTAAAGTATTCTGGGAACACTATATTTAGGAAGTCAATTATTCAATGACTTTTACATTGCTTTATAGAAGATACTCGGATTTTATTAAATCTTCAGTAATCTACCTTCTACATTGTTATAGTACTCACTGTCTATGTCTTATAGTTTAGTGCTTCTGTATTCTTAATCGTTCTATTTATCTTGTTTCAACACCATGTTGATATTTCATGAGGACAAGGACTCTAGCTCATTCTTTTTTCCTCATGTTTAGAATAGTGAGAAGTGCATTCTTGGGTACACACACAGAATTATTCAACATGTATAAGATAAAAGTATTTTTAAAACCCCACATTGTAGAAAGCGTTTTGCCAGTATTAAGTAAAATGATGTTTGTCATACTTGCTCTTAAGATACTGCAAAGTAGTAATGAGGTTAAATTTTCAAAGTTGTTGAAGAGACTAACCTTACATTTAAAGCAGATTTTTAAAAACTAGAAGAATTTTTAAAAGATACTTTACTTCAGCCGTTAGACTTTTAAGCCATTCAGCACACATTTTTGAACCTGTGCTAGATCATGACATTAGGTGCTGTGGAAACTTCTACGGAGCAGCCCCGTGCCACCAGGGAGCTTGCCTGCTCCGGGGGCGGCAGGCCAGCACAGCCTAACATAGCAGTGAACACAGGAGGAGAAAGCAGGGCCCACAGCTGAGGTGGACTGGAAAATGGTCAGCGTAGTGTTGCCGTGTTCATTCCAAGCCAGAAAGGAAAGCTTTGGACCTATGAACTTTGAAGTTAGGTTTAAAGTTTAGAGTTTATGAATACTACATCAGGTAGTTTATGAATTACTACAATACTACAGGACTTTATTCCGGTATTGCTTTTGTATATTTCTCAAGTGTAACTGTAAACCTTCAAGATGTTGAAGTTTAATTCAACTTAAAATAGGTTTTGTTCACTTCGGTTTTTCACTAATCCCTGAGTGATTTTATAGAACTGAACCACAGAAATGATAGTATAAATGAAGAAGAAAACCCTAAGTTTCTTGATCTTAAAATTTAAAAAAAAAATGAAAGAGTTAAAAATCAGAATAACCATTATAAAGGATGAGTTTGGTTCTGTCAGGACTGTATATTCCTGAGTAGTGAGGCTCATAGCATGCAGTCTCCCAGGGGCATCTGTTCCATCTTTGTAGCTTGTACATGAGCTGTCAGAAGAAGAGGTTCCCAGCAGTCAGAATGAGGCCAGGTTACTTTAAAAGCTGGCCCAGAAGAGATGTTTACGCCAGGACAGGCAGAGAGTCTAGTTTACCTGGGGCAGAATACCTAAAGGGAATTGGAAAGGTTTCTTTTTATGAATAAATACAGTCACTAGATTTAGACCCTAGCTCATTAATTTGCTTAAGTTTTTTTTTTTTAAGAATATTGGTATTAACTGCATCGAGATGCTTTAGATCTCATCTACTTCATTTCTTTATACTTTGCTCCATTTAGGTTTGTGAAATGAAAAACTGCAATAAATGTATCTATTTTGAAGCTAAGAAGAAACAAGATCTCTATATGTGGTAAGAGAATGTATTAACTAAGATTGTTCTTTTAAATGATTCTTTGTACCTCTTACAGACTCCTTTCAGTCTTTTTTTTTTTTTTCCAAGACTGAGCCAGGGGATGAAGTGAACTCACTTGATTTCACAAAAGTTGTGAAACCTTAAAAAAAAAGGAATGTTACCCTGTTTCCCTGAAAATAAGACAGTGTCTTATATTAATTTTTGCTCCCAAAGATGCACTAGGTATTATTTTTAGGGGATGTCTTATTTTTCCATGAAGAAGAATATGGTACACATTTATTGTTAAATAAAGGAAATTTATTACCTGTATACGGTACGGTAATACGGTAGTTGTCAACACAAACCAGACAAACTGTGAATCCTACAGTATCAAGAATTTACTCATTTATTCAATGACAATCATGTCATCATCTTCTGGAACATCATCATAACAATCCAATTCCTGAATTTCCTGGTGAATTTCTTGTGAATCCATTTCTTTCAGAATCAGTGGACCAAAGCTCTCATGTTTAGCTTAGGGTGTGCCTTATATTTCTCAGAAGGAAACCTGTAAGTAGGTCTTATTTTTGGGGAAACACTGTATGAACATTATAGTATCTTTTAAACTATAAATACAAAGTAAGCATTTGCTACATTCTAAATTCTAATTAAAAGGCTTCCTTCCTATTTTTCAGGCTTTCAAATTCACCTCATGGTCCATCTGCTAAATTCCTAGTTCAAAATAGTAAGTTGACTCAGTTTAAATTTTTATGAGAACATTGCAAACCTTTTGGAATAATTGTGCCAAAATTATGACTATTTTTCTTGTTAACATAATTTTTCCAGTTCATACCCTCGCTGAGCTAAAGATGACCGGAAACTGTCTGAAAGGTTCTCGGCCCCTTTTGTCCTTTGACCCTGTAAGTTTGCAGTTAGCGTAAGAAGTCTAACTTCACTCTGCGTGGCGGTTTCTTGAGGATATAGCTTGTTGGATAAGTCAGTTTAGTGAACAACAGTTTTAAACAAAGCACTTTGCTGTTGACAATTAATACTCTCACTTTATTTTTATAGGCTTTTGATGAATTACCACATTATGCTTTGTTAAAAGAACTCTTAATTCAGGTAAATAGAAAGTACTTTTGGTGATATTTTATAAATCCGTAACTTTCTTTGGGTTTTTTCTTAACTCAGCGATCTAAAACTAAAGTGGGTTGGATCGTAGAATAAGGCACTAACACATTCTTTTCCCTCGCTAGATCTTCAGTACACCACGCTACCATCCCAAAAGCCAACCGTTCGTGGACCACGTGTTTACTTTCACTGTTTTGGATAATAGGATATGGTTTCGGAACTTTCAGGTTAGCTTTAATTAATTTTTATATTTTGAAATAAATTAGGACAAACAATACCACTACATATTGACCATTTATTTTGTTTTTTAAAAAGGAGATAGTTTGAAGATCCAAGAAGCAGTGGAATTCTAAATTTGTGCTAGATGCTGTAAAGGATACAGTAAAATGTAGGCGAAGTTAGGATCTCCCTGGGGTAGGGTTAAGACTTAAAAAACAGTCTCTATATAAGGCATTTAATGAGCACTATTAGGTGAGTCACAGTGACTCATTCAGGAAGAGAGGTGAGTCTGAAAGTCTTGAAGGAGGAATTTGGCAGAATAATAATAAACCTGCAGAGAGGAGGGCAGTGGAAAAACATCACAAGTTTCAGGCAGCATGTGAAGCAGACTGGGCTCTTCATGGGTTGTTATATCGGGAGCTCAACATACTTCCTTCTTTACCTCTGAGGGCAGACAGTCTGAACCAGTATACAGTGTTAATATTTGTAGTTCAGAAGTGGCCTTCATCAGTCATTCAAAAGTAAATTTGACCCTGTACTATACTTCTATATACCTTTAACTTCATTTGATTAGGTTTACAAAAACAGTTTAGGGATTGATTTACATTTTTAAAGGGTCCCCTGTAGTATATTTCAATACATTTTGTTACAGTAATTGCAATTTTACAAACATTTAACCAGAGGTTTTCAAGGATCCATGCATTGTGAGAAGCAGGATATGAACCAAATTTAAGTTACTCGTTTTTAAAAGAATACTTAAAAGCCTTTATATTTTCTCCTGATAACTACTTGTACCTAATATATTTCAGGAAATGCTGATGTTTTGACATTTGCCAGGTTTAACTTCTACCTTATTTTTATTTTCAGTTTTTTTAGGCACATTTATAGTGAGGTTATAGCCAGTATACCTTTTAGGAAGAGTGTACCCAAACCAAAATGAAATGTTTTCTTCTTCTTAAAGATCATAGAGGAAGATGCTGCTCTTGTAGAAATAGGACCTCGCTTCGTCTTAAATCTCATAAAGATTTTCCAGGGAAGTTTTGGAGGACCAACTTTATATGAAAATCCTCACTACCAGTCCCCGAACATGGTAAGCTGTTTTTGTTTAGTGGTCTTCTGTGTTCCAAAACTCTGGCCAAGAGAATTTCGTCAGGTCACTACTATTCTTTTAACTGCGAAACTCACTTTGGGTTTGGTGCAGGCAGTCTTGCAAGTTACTTTTTTTTTTTTTTTTTTAATTGCTCCTGAATTTAAGGGAAATAGGTTCCTAAGTTTATGTTCTTGACACCATATGTAAAATGTTTATTCATATTTCGAAAACATCGAATGTGTTTTTTATTTTTTTGTAGCATCGACGTGTTATACGATCCATCACAGCTGCAAAATATAAGGAGAAACAGCAAGTTAAAGAGGCACAAAAACTGAGAAAGAAAGAACCAAAGACTGTTCTTCCACATGACCCCACTGCAGATGTTTTTGTTACACCAGCTGAGGAAAAGCCCATAGAAATTCAGTGGGTGAAACCAGAGCCAAAAGTTGATTTGAAAGCAAGAAAGAAGAGGGTTTACAAAAGACAAAGAAAAATGAAACGGAAGGTGAACAGTGGAAATACAAAATGAATCGATGGATAATTAATTTTTCAGTTCTTTCATATTTATTTTGTATTCAGTGTGTGAATATTTTTATTCAGGACTATTTACAACTAATTAGTGTTTCATTTAAAAGAAAAAATTAAAATTTTGTGGCTTCAGTATCTGTTTTTCTAAATAAAATATCCCTAGAACTCAAATTTCTGTTCAAAGGTTATTTGCTATTATTAAAAATTTAGAGCACTTAAGAGTTAGGCCTGTCCTCTTAGATTAAAACTTTTTATTTGTTTGTTTAGCAAAGCTAGATTGTAAACAATTTATTGGGTTACTAGTAAACATAGCATTAGGCACTTGGAGCGTAGTTTCCGATGGGGAGGTAGGGGTTGACTGGGAGGAAAGAAAGCATCTTAGTAGGTTTGAGTCCCTGAGTCACCAATTAATGAGCCCTTGGACAAGCCAACGTCTGTTCTTGTTTTCTCATTTCAAAAAGGTACAACAAAAATGCTTAGGTTTTGAGAATCGAATTCTTTCATTGAAAGCATTTTGTAAGTTAAATTTTAGAAGCAGTGGGTATAAATTACTTATTGATAGTAAAAGGAAGAAGTACAAGGCAGTTGTTAGGAGGTACTAGAATATTTGAATTTCTCTGAATTATTTGCAGCAAAAGGATATATATGTATCTTCAGAAGTTGTATAGATACTACATAACTAATAAAATTAAGTCATGCTGTGGAGGTCTGTCATCACTTTAATTTCACAATCATTTTCCCATGTCTGTTTTACAATATGGTTAGTAATTGTACAGTATTCTACTCTATAGCACATGTCAGTTTTTTATTAAGTAGTTCAGTTACATATTTTCTTGTATAGGTGCTTGCAGTAAACATTCCTATATACAAATTATTTTGTACAACGTTCATATATTCTAGTACCTTCTAACAACAGCCTCTAAGTAGTAGGACTCAGGTCAGAACATTAAAAGTTCTTATTGCTCCCCTAAATATTATACCTCACCAGAAGTTAGAGCATTCATTTTCTTTTACCTTTGCAGTGGTGAAATAATCTTTGTCTATTGGATAGTTAAAAAATACTGTTTTCTTGGTGTTTTTTCGTTAGGTATTGGTTCTTAAGACTTTTGTTTTGGGGTGTTGGTTATTGTCATTAATTTTTCCTAATTTGTAAGAGCTCTTATATAGTAAGTTCATTCTAGACGTCTTTTCTGTTTCATCACTTGTAGTTTAATTTAAAATTTTTTTTTTTAAATATAGACAGGATGATAAATTTTTCCTCATTCCATTTTCTCTTAATTTTCTACTAAAAAACGCCTTCCTGAGACTATAATTAGGCTACTTGATCTGAAAATAGTCTAAATGATGAGGCTACTGAAGTCTTCTAAATTATGCAGATAATTCAGGTCAGATTTTATTGATAAATCTGGCCTTATATAAAAATAACTTCAGGATTTTTTTTTTTTTTAAACACCCACGTCTCAAAATTACAGGCTACGAACATAGTAAGATGTGAGTTTGAGTACTTAATACTTTTTGATATGTGTGTGGCAGAGTTTCTATGGGCTTTCCAGTTTAATAACTTCATCAGTTTCCACGTTTTCCTTTCCCAAAATTCTCTTTAATGGTCATTTATATGAAAGCCTCATTTGGTTGAGAATTCCTCATCGCCCAAGTCCATATTCATTGAGAAGCCAACCCATTTAATACAGATGCTCCTTTAGACTGAAATTTATATCTAGTGTAATAGTTGAATTTTCTATGCAATGTTATAGGCAAAAATAGATCCCTTGAAGGAAAAAGGCAAGTGACTCAGAGGTTTAAGCAAATGTAACTGAAGGAAGAAAATAGTTCTTTCTTACTCCCTCCCCACCCACCCCCAACACAGATTCTCAGATGGGGGAATGCTCCAATGTTTGCCTGCGTTCAAACGTCTCAATTCCTATGCACTGCCAATTTAAAAACAAGGTTGTATGGTACCTTCTTTCTTTGGAAAACTGGCCAGTGCACAAGTCCGGGGGTTTAATTGGATAGTAGTGTGTGGATACGCTTGAAGTTTAGAGTTGGTTTTGATTGCAGGGAGAGGATATATCTTCCTAAACTTCCAGCACCCCAACTTTACAGAAGTGTTGGGGAACCCACCCTTCTCCAGCCATACGTGATTTACAATTGCTGTGTTGGTGCATTTTAATGAGAACTAGGTTACTATTTTGACACCTTGTCAAATTGAAACAGGTGTACAGATCTTCCATCCTGTAATACCGTATTTTTCAGACCATAAGATGCACTTTTTTCCCCCCAGAAGTGGGGGGAAAAAGTCCCTGCGTCTTATGGTCCAAATATAGCCTACACATATACTTTAAAAAAAAGTTTTTTTACTTGCCCGGCTCTGTGTGGTCTCTGTGTGCTTGCCCGGCTCTAAAATGGTTCTAAATGCTGCTGTTTACTGGGTTGATTACATGTGTTTATGACTGTGATGTTGGGTTTTAATGCACATAAAATATTTTAGGACACTTTGTTTCAGAATCTTTTTTTCTTCATTTCCCTTCTCTAAAAACTGGTGCGTCTTATGGTCCAGAGCGTCTTATGGTCCGAAAAATACGGTACATTGTATCTGTTCGATCTGGAAGACCTGGTTAAATACTATGCTTTAACTGCAATTCTTAACCTAAACCAATCTTGGAAATGTAGGATTAGAAGCCAGAAAGTTAGGATTAATGAGTGATGGAGAAGGGGTCAGTACAATTTCATCCATATTGGTGGTAAAACATTTAGTATGTTATTTTAAGTGTTGATGCTTCTCAAATGTTTTTAGTTCATTCAAGTCATCTTATTTGATGTTATTCCTATGCTTGGTCTGAATGGAAAATAGTCTCATTGAATGGCAGCTGAAGAGGATTGAAGAGTTTAAAAAAAACTGGTGCTTTTTTATTGTTGAGTCCAACCGAGTTCTGGCATTGATTATTTGCGAAGGCTTGAGCAAACTACTGGGCTACTTCCGGAATGAGCGCCTCACCTGTAAACACGGGGCCCAGTGAAGACATTATCACATAAACACCACAACCGGATGTGCTGCACTGTTTTCTTCCACCCATTTACCCCCCAGGGCGGCCGCCCGGTTAGTGCGCTCCTCCTGACCGCCCTCTGTGCCCCTCACAATGACACCCACGTGGCCCCGCCTCCCGCCGCCGCCTCCTCACCTAGGCCCCACCTCCTCGCCCAGGCCCCACCTCTCCACCGCCTCCTGGTCTAGGCTCCACCTCTTCCGCCCGAGGCCCCGCCTCTCCTCACCTAGGCCCCACCTCCTCGCTCAGGCACCGCCTCTTCCTCCCGAGGCCCCGCCTCCTCCTTCCAGAAGCCCCGCCTCCTCACGAGGCCCCGCCTCCTCTCCGCCCAGCCTTTTCCGGCGCAGAGCCCGCCCCCCTCCCATGCGGAGCCGCGGCCGCCGGCGCCGCCCCCTCCGCGCATCCGCGTGCCGCCGCCCGCGCCGCCCGACCCCGCCGCGCGCCTCCGCCGCCCCGCGCCGCCGCCGCGCTCGCTGGCTGGCCCGCTGCTGGCGTCCGGCCGCCGCCGCGAGAGAGGACAGCGAGGGCTGCCACCCCCCCTCCGGCCCGGGCCCGGGCCCCTGCCCCGCCCCGGGCCCCGGCCCCGGCCCCGGCCCCGGGCCCCCGCCCGCGCGGGCCATGAAGTGTCACTACGAGGCGCTGGGGGTGCGGCGCGACGCCAGCGAGGAGGAGCTCCGGAAGGCCTATCGGAAGCTGGCCCTGAAATGGCACCCGGGTAACTACCGCCCGCACCGCCGGCCCCGCCCTCCGCCCGGAGCCGGCCCCGGACCTCCCGCCCTGGGGGACGCCGCCCGCCCGCCACCCCGGCTGCACTGCGGCCCCCGGCGCCCCTCCCTTCCCAGGCGCCGCCCGCCGAGCCCACAGCCCGCTCGGCCGCCGGGGGGACAGACCGCCCCTGGGACCTCCCTGGCCCCCAGCGCCTCGCGGGCCCCGGGGTCAGCCCGGAGGAGGTGCCGGGAGGTCCCCCGGTCCGACCCCGCCGATCCCCTGCGGCTCCGGCTCCGCGTGGCCCTGAGCTTGACCCCGGAGTCCCAGCTCCTTCAGTGCAACTTAGGGCTCCCGTCCCGTTGACATCCCGGCAGCGGCCCCGGGATCGCTCCCCCCCGTGAAGTTTGTGTGCTGTTAACTCGGAAGTGTGCTCCGGCGGGATGTGTGACTTGTGTGTGGTCTGTGTGACCGCCCGGGCTGGGGAGCGAAGGCAGGCGCTGAAGCTCAGCATTGCCAGGTTGATAAAGGGCTTGCTGATCGATAAGCGCCGATCCATAAGCACGGCTCTGGTCTCCTGGACATGCAAGCCACTGCAGGTTCTGAAATGCTAAGACAGAGGCAGCCTCCGTCTTGCAGGGAAAACATGCCTTACGCGCAGAAAAGAGTTAAATTCTGGGGCAAACAGAATAGCAGGACAAATGGAGTCGGTAGCGGGACATAGAGGGTACCTGGTGACGCCCCAGGAGTTCAGGAGGAGAGGGAGTTTGTCTGGGTCCTGAGGGGTGTGAGGCTTCCCCTCGGAGAGGAGCCTGGGTCCCCGAGGATGGAATCGGGGAAGGGCGAGCACGTGATGGGCAAAAGGGGTCCAGTGGACAGCCTGGCTGAAGTCTGAAAGTATGGGCCGGCTTAGCACGTTTGGCTCAGTGGACAGAGACTGGAGCGGCCCCGCCTGCTGCCACAGGCAGGAGCGGAGACAGGCCATGCCAGTCCGCTGAGATAAGGGCAGTGTGAAGGCAGGTAGCAGGTGCCTGTGAGCACAGGTACCCGACCTGGCCTGGGTTTGTGTGTTTTGGGGGTAGATGGGCCTCCCCAGAATGGACATCTTGGAGGAGACCTGAAGCAGGCATACAGAGAAGACAGGTGGAGGGGCAAGGGAGAGCAAGCATGGCAGAGTCCTGGAAGGCCAGGGAAGTAGGGCCCGGTCTGGAAGGTGCGGTGGACTGGACTAGGGGTTGGGCTTTATTTTTTTATATATATTTTAAATACATTTTATTTATTTTTTACAGAGAGGAAGGGAGAGGGAGAGAGCTAGAAACATCAATGAGAGAGAAACATCTATCAGCTGCCTCTTGCACACCTCCTACTGGGGATGTGCCTACAACCAAGGCACATGCCCTTGACCGGAATCGAACCTGGGACCTTTCAGTTCGCAGGCTGATGTTCTATCCACTGAGCCACACTGGTTTCGGCTAGGGGTTGGATTTTAACCCAGGAGCATTGGGAAGCCAGTGAGGTGTTGGAAGGAGGGGCGAGAAGATAGGTTTGTGTCTTTCCAGTATCTCTCTGGCTGCAGTGGGGAGAGTAGGTTGGAGCAGGCAAGCCTGGAGGTCAAGGGGCATTGAAGGCCTCAGGGTGACCACCAGGACCTGGGGATGGAAACTGAGCCAGTGCCAGGATTCTCGGGCATAAGCGCAGTGGTTGGGAGGTGAGGAGTCGGGAGAGGAAGAAGTGGGGTGGTCCATGGATCGTGAGGGAATGAGAGTTTGTCTTCCGGTGAGTGAAGGAGCCGAGGCCAGGAGAACGCCAGCGCTCGCACAGACCTGCCCGGTGAAGGCTGTGGCTGAAGGAGTCTGAGAGGGAAGCAAAGCAAGCAGCCTCCTCAGGGAGCCTGGCGTAAGAGGCACGGTCCATGGAATGTTCCAGAAGGCACTGCATAGAGGCTTGGAAGGGAGTGGAAAAGAGCATGTGGGTGAAGAGAAAAGCACAAAGGATAACGTGAGAACGCCTTCTAAACTTTGATGGCTGGTTTGCAATGGCTGTGGCTTTCGCACTTGGTGAATAATATACCACGTGGGCCTCCCATTTTTTAAATTAGGGCTTTTAAACTTCTTGCTCTCACGTTTTTGAATCTCAGCTCAACCTTCCTGTCAGCCAGGTCAGGTGTATTTAGTGGAAATAAAAAGCCATATGACAGATTGAAAACAATTATTTAAGAAGGACGCTTCAGGAAGAGATTAGATCTTATTTTCAGGCGGCACGTTAATGGGTTTTATGCACTCAAACGCTTCAGCTTTCTCCAGCTTCTTTGGGGAGGAGAGGAGGGCGTGGGAAGAGGCAGGACAGCCAAGTTCTGTGCTGGTTAAAAGGTGAAGGAGAGCCTCCGCCTGCCACTCCCAGGCAGTCACCTGTTTTGTTCGCTGCCTTCTGCCATTCAGCTTCCTTTCAACTCTGCTTTGTACTTGCCTGACAAGGTTTTTATTAGTGATTTGATGAAGACGTAGAAATCGTGACTGTTTTTAGCTGGACTCTCACCATCAAGGCATGTTAGGATTGTGTTTAGCTGCAGGTGACAGGAAGCTGACTGCAGTGGCTAACCCAGAGCCGCTTTATTAATCTCACATACCAAGCACTCCAGAGGTGGCCCATCATGGTAGCTCCAGCTGCTTATGAAACGTTCAAAGACCTGCTC